GGTGCATTCAAGAGGAGCAAAAAGACATATCCAGGTTTTTACTTCGATGTATTGAAATGAATCTCATATGTGAGTGAAATGCCTCGGATTTGATAGTTTTGCTGTGAAAATTTGGCAGTCTACATTAGTTTATGAAAGGCGATTTCAATAAATTTCACATTTTCAAACAATTACAAATTTCGGCAAAAAGGATTTTTTGGTTAGTTGATGAAAACGAATTTTATGAATTATTACTATTATTATTATCGCTGCCAATGTACTTACATTTAACCTGTAGCACAGCTCTAAGCGTACCTATTTGTACTTACATTTTTGTCAGCAACGACAAATGCCGATAGAATTTGATCAATTGGGTGTTCTTTGAATTCATCATTATTTACCATCTACAAAAATAAGATCGTCTTTTTTTCTTGTTTCCGACAAAGCGGTGGTTTTTTGTTATTTCTGTTTTGTTTGTTGCAATATTTCGATAAATTCCTACCAATCAGCAAATGATACAAATGTCTAGAAAAACGTCATGTAGCTGGAAACCCATGCGACTTTGCGAATCGTTAGCATACGATTATTGTAGCCAATAAAAATTCCAAGCAAACGAGTTGTTCCATATGGATAATCAGTTCGTAATTCTTCATTCCCTATCATACACCTCATAGTAACGACTCTTTTTAAGCGCCATCCGAGCTCCCAACAACCAGTGTAATAATTGTTTATCACAACGAGGCGTTTTCGACCTTACTGCGCACTGTAACCAGTGTTATCAATCGCACTCCAAAAGAAGTTCTTAGAGAAATCATTTTGGTGGACGACTTCAGTTCCAGGAGTGAGACTATTTGCTTTCATTTGATTCTAACATTTCGACTGAAGTTTCAAACTGATGAAATATGTTTTTCCCTAAAAGAAAAAATGTTATCCGTTATTATCCGTTCTCGTCATCAGTGCTCTCGAAAGTTATCCGTTCGTTAAATTCGGTGACACAAAATCGTTGAACTTTGCAGTTATTGCTGCTGATTAGTAGATTGCATTAGTTATAATCATTCGTGTTATCCAGTAAAAAGTAATTTTTGCTTTTTATTGGATATCAACGGATAAAAAATAAAAGTTTTCCATCTGTAATTTTTATTTGGGTTTATTTTTCAATGTATCAATTCTTTCAGCATTTTTGAAGGATGAATTGGACAAATTTGTTGCTACACTGAGTGCGCGCATTAAAATAGTACGTGCGCAACGTCGAGTTGGCTTGATTCGAGCTCGTCTTTTGGGGTCAGCAGAAGCCGAAGGTGATGTGTTGACGTTTTTAGATTCGCATTGCGAATGTACAAAAGGATGGATTGAACCATTGCTCACCCGAATCAAAGAAGATCGGTAAATTTTTTGCCATTGATAGCGTCTTCCAGATCACTGTATTTCTTGTGTAAGGATACATTACTTGCTTATTGAGCTCATTATTGTTCAAAACGCTTCGTTAATAGAAATCGCCACCGCAACGACTGCGTTTGCAGAATTGCAGAATTTTCGAAGTTTTCAATGGGAAAGTTGCTTCTAGCGATTTAGTAAGGTTTCAAAAGCAGAGGAAAGATAGGATGTGTGTTCATCGCCCTATTAATGTTTCATCTGAGTCTGCTTTGTTAATAGTTGAAGTAACCGAACTAGATATTCTGCTTTACACAAGACAGCTATGCGGAAAATTTTGGAGTTGATGTCTTTGGAGCCTTCATGCTCATTCTGTTAACTCCTCAGTGAAACTGTATGCGCAAAACTGGCTTCGCGTTGTCAATCTGAATTTGTTTAGAAAAGCAGTTGTATGCCCTATCATCGATGTTATTGACTCGCACACATTTGCTTACAACAAAGGAATTGAAACGTTCCGAGGAGGATTCAACTGGAACTTACAATTCAGGTGGTACGCTTCACCGCCAGAAATTTTGAAACGCCGTGCAAGTGATCCATCGACTCCAATAGAGTGATTGCATTACTTCATTTATTTGCGTTATTAATATTTTTCGAGATGAAGAGGTCATTTTATTGAAGATGAAGGCCCCTTTTAAGGAATAGATTTGATGAATTAGTTCCGATGAGAAGTAATCAATCGTCAGTTGTTCGTTTCATTCGAATTGCTGAAACGAATCGGTTTCAATCAGGTCAGAGCGAATGATTTCAGTGAATGAATGTATCATTATGATTTCAATGAAATATTGAGCATCCGCGGTTGTTTACGATAACACTTGACATATTTCGTTGATTGATGCAGAGTCATCAATCTTGAATGTTCCAATGGCACTTTGTAATACGGAACATAGCACCTTCATTTCCCCTGAACCATCGCTCTAAAGTGCAACTTGAACAGAATGCGCAACAAAAACCCACAAAAATGGGTGAAAAAATTTTTTTGCTAGAAAACTTGCAATTAAGAGGCAAATTCGTCAAATAAATCACTCAATACATAGGCTGTCTCAAAAC